TTTAAAAAATACAATTAAATTCTTTTAAAACTAGTGATTCTTTTCTACTGTTTAACTAATTTATCTACTGAGTAAATTCTTAGCTTAGTTACATTGAAATTCTTTTTATAACCACAAATCCATCGGCTTTTTTATTTCTTAACATTTAAGGAAACGTGTTCGGTAGAAAAATAAAAGAATGAAAAAAGTATAAATCTATAAACCAAATATTATTTTTCAGTAATACAATTTACAACTATCCTTTGTAAATGTATCTATGTTTTAAATTAAGAACATTTTTTTTTTAAACAAATTAATTGGAATGCTGTTTTCAATTATACAAGTATACGCAGATTTGTTGAAAATCTTGCATTTACACTGCACAATCTTTATTGTGTTCCTATATTATTTTAACTTTTTATGCCATAAAAATAAATCTTTTTTGGTATGAATTTGTAAATAAATAATAATACTTAAACATAAAGGTATTGATTCCTAGGAGCCACTAAACAAAAGAATTGTATTGAATTGAATAGTATTGCAAGTGATAAAATAAACAAAATGGTTGGAAAAAAATAATAAAGAAGGATTAATCAAAATTTATTTGATAAATTTCGATAGACTTCTATTTATAATGGCTATATCGTTAGCATAAACGAGGTCTCGACGTCGTCACTACGACGCGTGACTGATGTTTTACGCGACTTTCTTGTGAAGTTTATTATACCTTAGAACAGGGACGACAGAAAGTTCATAACATTATTTATTATATTATAATTATTATATATCAAAACAGTGCACCTAGAGCTGCCATATTGATAATTGCCAAAATTATTGTTAATCTTTTTTTTTTGGGAAATGCACATATAGGTGGTTAAAAAACCAGTACTATACTCTAAAACCCAATAAAACCGCCCCCGTTTGAATGGGGCATCGCAGGATCGCTTACACAGAGGAAATTATATTTATCTAACCTACAAACAATACTTTAATCGTGCAACTAATCATAGTGGTATTACTTACCTACTACTTAACTTAAACCTAAATATTATAATATTGACATGTTATGTTTAGGTGTTCCCGACGTTCTAAAGATTTACAGCAAATATAGTCGTGTGAGAGTTTAAGATTTTTAATGTATCAATAGTTATAGCTATTACAGACGGTGTCTACCCACAAATGTTATCAAATAATAGTAGGAACAGTAAGATAACAAAAATGACATCAAAATAACTTCTTACCTAAAAATATTTAAAAAAAATATTATTACTTTTGAAATTGTAAAGTTCTTTGGGGTATTATACTTTTAATTTAGGTTACTATTATTATCATGACTTTAGAATTTTAAGAGTCAGGAATCCAAAAGTAAAATGAAACCGTAATAATACCTGTTAAAATATGTTTTTTTTTTTCATTTACCTAATGTATGTAGATTTAGATTAAGGAAGCTAAAACAAGGTGTAACGCAGGTTTTTCTGTATGTATATACAATATCATATTTTCTAGTGCGAGTTAGTATTATTAAGTTAGCATTCTTAAGTTTTAAGCTTAACATTCTTATTATACTTATTATTCTTATTATTACCCTACTATGCGCATGTATCACTTCTATTATTTCTTTATTTCGATCCAGTCCCCATGTTTATATCGCAAACGTTCGCGTTTTATGTGAATATCTGATAGGTTGGATTTGAATACCATAAACACATGTGGAAACTAAAAGTTCAATGAATAAGAAATTTTATAGGAAGAAGTAAAATGATGGAGTTGGGTCTACTAAGACAAGTTGAAATGTGAGTTTGATTCTCATTTGGCTAAGCCCGTCACGCCGAGAACCAATTTCAAAAACTATTTCATATTTACTTAAATTATCTTCTCCAATTTTTTTATATTCTGTATTATTATCTCAATTTTCTTCAGATTTTTCTCACCGATTATTTAGGTTCATGTTATCCCTATTTACTTTTAATTTTTCATAATTACTCAACTGTCTAGCGGTTTATATGAGACCCACCAATTTTTTGAGCAATATATCTCCAAAAACATCTGTGTAAAGTGATTATGATATATGGACAGTCACACAGACAGATACAACGAAACTATAAGGGTTCCGTTTTCGCCTTTTGCCTACGGAACTCTAAAAACACAAATCATCGTTGTGCAAAACATTATTATCGTGTTTTTATACATATAAGCTACTTATGCAAGTGTAGTCCCAAAATTTGCGATGTGGTGTGTTTCCAAAGAGAAGTTATGACACGGGAAAAGCAGTAAAAGGATGATAGCTTCCACTCACGTACGAGTACTTCCTTCCTTGGTTTGCATGATACGATTTCAGCTTGGATATTAAGCGCATAAGTATGTAGATAGATGTTAACTGCCTCGGTGGTGTAGTGGCTAGCATGTACAGCTGCACACCCGGAGGTCCTGGGTTCGAATCCCGGGTCGGGCCAAGTTTAGTTATTGAGTCTTTCTGTATAGTAAGTCTCAGTAACAGTCTGGAGTTGGGAAGTCGGTGGTGTTTAACTCCCGTGCCTCGGAGAGCACGTAAAGCCGTCGGTCCTGCGCCTTAACTCTCACTGGTCGTGTCGAGCAGTCGTCCCACCGGAGTATGAGAGTGACAGGAATAGAGAGCGCACTTTTGTCTGCGTGTACACTTGTGCACTATAATATCTCCTGCGCAGTTAGCTAGTCTCAATGAGATTGGCCGCCGTAGCTGGAATCGGTCAGGAGAACGTCATGTAGATACTTTAATAACATAATGGAGTATGACCTTTGCCATTCGGATTTTGTAGTAATAGTATTAGAACTTTGTTGTAGCAAAAATTAAAAGATTAACTTATAGTGAACCACTAAGTATTATTGAGTTTAATTCTAAATTCTGTATTTTTGTCAAACAAAAGATAAGAAAAAGTAGATACATACTTGCCAATCGTGTATATGAAGTTGATTTATTTAGTAATTGGATTGTTAGAAACTTCTTTCACATTTGTTTGATATGATTTGAATTCTTTTTATATGACTTTTTGTTTAAGAATTGTAGACATATTAAAAATAATAATATTATTATTAATTAATTAATTTATTACAACTATATTAATATAGAGTACTAGCATTTCCCGTGGCTTCGCTCGCGTTCAGATGACATAAAAACCAAATTCTTAAGTTTTACATATTAGTATACTCTTACTTTGCAGTTTTTGTATTTTTTCTCAGAAATGAGACATTTTCCCGCAGTAAAAAGTATCCTATATTTTGACTCGGATAACCAGCTATCACCATACCAAATTTCATCAAAATCCCTCTAGTGGTTTTTCTGTGATGCGGTAACAGACAGACAGACAGACAGACAAAAATTCTAAAAACTATAGATTCTGTGTCGATAATAATGTTTATTTCAATAAGATTTTCCAAAAAATATTTAATGTACAGATTGGGCTTAGTTACAATTTTATTATATGTATGGATTAAATAATTAAGACTAGAAGCACTGTCCTGAACGTTCTTAAAGTACCTAAAGATAATTCTCGTATTCCATGTAATACTAACTTACTCGTAATCTAAAGTCAAAGACAAATATTTATTTAGTAATTTAATAACATACATAATATTATGTAATAACAAATAAAATTAAATATAAAAATAGTGTATAATTTCATTCAAAGCTAGCAATAAGTTCATATTTTAAAAAGAAAAATAACTCAATTTCATTTCGACAGAACATTCACAGTAGGATTGAAAGTCGAAACCGACACATCGACTTCGGATAACCGCTCTATTTCCTCTATTCTGCTCCGTTCTGAGCTCACATTTTAGATTTACTTTATCGGTAAAATTTAAAGCTCCATACAAAGAGGAACATTAGCACAGGAAACCTTAGCCAGTGCAGTCGTTAAGTGAAAGAATTAAACTTTATTTAAAACTAGGATTGCCCGCGGCTCCACCCGCGGGTGGAGCCGCGGGCAATCCTAGTTTATCAATGTATTACTAACCTAGTTAATCAATTTATGGCAATCCTAGATAAATTAGTAACATATTTTTAATAAAACCTTTGCAATACATACTAATGTGCTACTTACTAAAAAAATTTAATCATTAAAGATAATTTGATGTACCTATTTATTTTGTTTTTTTTTTGTAATTATATTTTATGCACTGTTAACACATGTTCATATAGAAGTAAAGAAAAATGTTATTTTTGTGATAAATCGCGTTTTATTAGAACAGACATCTACATATATATATATATATATATATATATATATATATATATATATATATATATATATATATATATATATATATATATAAAATCACAGACAGTTATAATATTTTCACGTCTCTTTTATTATAATTCAGTACAAAACCAAAATACTTCTTCAAGCTCCCACAGTTCACATTTACATCACCACCAGCACACCAGCTTTTGTACAATTACCTATCAGCCAATATTCTATCTTCTTATTTGACTAAATTTAGCTCGTTGGTAATTGCTGTACAGGTCAGCGACATAGAGATTCTGACTTCATATGTCAAGTTTAAATATCTTTAAACGAGCAGTTCTTGTATATATATCTCGGAAACGGCTCCAACGATTTTTATGATATTTTTTTTAGTTTCAAAACTGTAACAGTTCTTTGATAAGATGATGTTCAATACTTGGTGTAAATCTCCGTTCATAAATCTCCGGGACAACAGTATATGAAGTTACTGATTTTGATACCGAAATGCTAATCCATGGGAGTATAATAATAAAATAATTTCAGATACATCTGCGTCTATGCAGGCACATAGGCACATGCCTACTTTATTTCTCACAGATGATCGCGCTAACCTCATCGATATCAGCCACTACCAATGACTGAATTTTAATCAAGACAATACATACATATATCACCATCTTCATTTCCATTTTATTAGTAAAATGATAAAGAGACATTTTTTCACCTCCATTTTCATAGTCGACGTTAAGCTCAAAAAATGTAATTACTAGGCAAATTGCTAAGCATTTTTAAATACTATCCTTTACACTGTTTTTGAGCTATTCTTGCGTCCCCAGATATGAGTTGCAGCTTGGACAATAATGGACAGCTTTTTTGCATACATTTGTATAGTAAGGAATGATAACACAAGGCCAGCATCTGAAATAAAAAATAGGTTACAGTACTTACATAATATCACCTAATTACTAAAATGTTCTCCGTAAAGTCGATTATTTATTTACACAGAATATTCAACCCTATGTCTTTCAAATCTATACCTATATTATAAAGTAAAGTTTGTGAGGTTGTAGGGGGTAATCTCTGGATCTCCTGAACCGATTTAGATGAAATTTAGTAAGATAGATTGAGACCCTGGGAAGGACGTAGGATACTTTTTATCCCGGAAATCATCCCTTAAGGGGGTGAAAATGGAGATGGAAGTTTGTATGGGGAATCAACCTAGGGACGTAATAAATAAAGAAAAAATAGGCGAACGTTAGTGAAAATAAGCAAAGTGACTTCTATCTTCTCTTCGGTGATGCGTTATACGTTTGTAATGCCAGTAAATAACGCTAACCTACGTATAATACTATATGTTCGTTAGAGATACCTACAAGATGTTCATAATCTATTCCGTATAATACCTCAAATAAAGCTGTCTTGCAATCATCAATGTTACTGTTTTATTATAAAAAATGTATCAGATAAAAAACGATAAAAATATGGAATAAATTACTTATCGGACTTATTTTTTAAGATAAAAATTTCAACAATCTTTGATATAAATATATACATTATTTATTTCTTATTATCACAATCGGACTTCAATTATAAATGCGAAAGGTGGTTTGTATGTATGTATGTTTGTTTGTTACGCTGAAAAGGCTGGACGGATTTGGATAAAATTTAGTACAAAGATAGGCAGTCTATCTAAAAGCTACTCATACATACTGTAAAGCACCTAAACACCTAAGCACCTAAGCAAAATGGGGAAAGTCGCGAGTAGTATTATAAATGCGAAAATTTGTCAGTATGTTTGTTATCTCTTCAAGCAGTAACTGTTATTTGAGTACACACTACAAATGCTACTTTTCATTGAGATACTTCTGATGTGTGATCTGATGTGAGAGGTGCCCCTAGCAAAAAGCAGTAATAATATTAAAAAAAATATCATACGTAAACTATTTTATACCAATGTATACGAATTTGTACAATTGAAATATTTTTTTTGGATATTTTACTGACAATTCGTCACTGTTTCGTTAAGGCCTTGTGACTTTTATTATAATGAAATTTAAGAGCTATTTAGTATAACTATTTTATAACTTTATAACTTTCTTTACAATATAAATTAAACAGATATTGCTCGTAACTTCCTTTATTCTGGACACAACTGTGCATTGCATCATAATATACGGGAAATAGGTGATATATGTGAATAAGCACTAAGTACCTTTATCGCAAAAATAGTAGATAATAAATAGTTGTTCGCCAAACGCATATTTTTTATATATTGCTATTATAAAAAAAATCACTTGCCTAACAACCGTATTACAAAATCTCACTAATATTCAAAGTTCGAAAGTTGTGACTTCCTTCTTCACACTGTAATAGATCAACGGATTTGAATAAAATTTAGAATGGAGATAGTTAATATCCAGGATTAACACATAGGATACTTGTATCGACGTACCACGTGACCGGAAAGGCGAGTAGAATTCTAGTCTATACTAATATTATAAAGAGGCAGAGTTTATTTGTTTATACTTTTTGCAGTAGATAGTCCATTTATTAAGGAAGGCATGTATACATATATATATATATATATATATATATATATATATATATATATATATATATATACATATATAATATTAGTCGTCACACTAATCGTTCGTAATCGAGGGCGAGTCACTAGTTTTATATATGTAATACTAGAATTCTACACGCGACTCTGTTCGGGTGGTACGTCGCGTCGGTATATATAAAATGTTAATATATTTCATTTAACTCATGAAATCACTCAGTAATTCAATAATTATAAACACTTACAACATAAGACACAGTACACCAGCCATAAAATGCGTTCGAATCGAAACGGCTCTTTCAATCCTTGTTGCAATTCGTTGATTACAAAACGAACACGTCATAACAAATGGTTCATATCCGAAAGGTCCAACCAAAATAGTAGGTTGTGAAATTGGTTGTGTAGTTATTACGTCTGTTCTCATTTCTCCAGGATAGAAAGAAATAGGCGATATGACAGGTGGTCCATGATAACTTTGGGGCAGTGGACCAGAGTAACTTGGTGGTTCCATTGTAGGTATATGCTTTGCCTCAGAAGAATTTTCTAAATTCATTTCTTTCACTGAAATCATTTTTATAATTATTAAGCATGTAAATTTGCAAGAATAAGGTGTGTTGACTTAAATATTATAAACTAACGAAAATATTAATAAATCTAATAACATGTCAGTTACCAGCCCATAAGTTATTTTTATTCAATAGTTATTATGAGTATGCACTCAAAATAATAATAATAAGCATAAATTGAAAAAACTTTAGTTATGAAATAAAAAATAAGTACGTAAATATTACTTTAACTTTATTAACAAATTAAAAATATTCTTACATTGTGTCTCAATTTTTCGTAACGCTCAGTATGATGATAAAACTGTAACTAATCTGCTATATCTTTTATACGTAAATAAATATTATCGAGCCTATCGCTACATTCATCTAGATAATATTTTATATATAATAATAAGTGAGTCATGGTTTTGCACGTATTTATTAACCGACTTCCAAAAAAGAGAAGGTTCTCAATTCTTCGGAATCTTGTTTTTATGTATGTTCACCGATTACTCGAAGAAAACTGAACCGATTTGGAAAATTTTTGTTTTGTTTCAATAGGTATACTTCCCATATAAATTTTATCGAAATCGGTCGAGCGGTTTTTAAAAAATCAATAATAAATATTTTTTAAATAAATTGTTTAATCGAATATGTTATTAAAAAACATTCTTCTTACAAATTACCTGCCCTGCTTATTACGTCTACAATAAAAATGGAAAAATAGGCTTCCCGGCACTAAAATGTAAAAAAATAACTAAACGGAGGTTTTCCGATGCAAAGCAAATCTAATATATTTCGATACGTAAAATACATATTTACCTATTAGATATTAATATCTTAAAATATTGTAGGCTGGCAAAAAGTATAGGTCAAACCCTCCTAGCCCCTTCCCCACTTCTCTAAGAAATACCTTTTGATGGACTAAAATTTTCCGTGGGTCACTCAGGGATATAAGTTATATTAAAATAAAAATAAATAAGCATATAATTTAAAGAAGATTCTAGAACTTTCTCAAAATATTGTAGATGTCTTATTAAATATTAACTTTATTTATTGCATTTTCTGAGAAAATTTACTATAGTAATGTATATTTTTTTACACCATCAGAAAGGAGAGATTTCAACGAACAAAAAACTCATTGAGTTTTTTAAAAAAGCAGATATTTTGACGCGAGATTTTTCGATTGAAAATAATGGTGCTTTTTCTATATTAAGTCAAAATAAGATGAAAAAATAAATATTTTAAATCAAAAAAAAATACGGTATATTTGGGACTAAAAAGGTAAGTTTTCAATAAATTTCGTGACAAGATTTTTTTTGTAAAAGATAAAAATAAAAAACCAAAAACTTGGTTATTTGAATTTTTCACATAAATTTTGAGGTTATGTGAAAAAAGTGTAAATACAGGAGTTGTAGATCTTTTTATTGCCTACAACTTCATTTAACTTTTTTCCATAGGACTTATAGTTTTGCCGGAAATCGAGATAAAACCGTTTTTTACCCTTAAAAACTCACCCCCTCCCACTTCCCGACCTCAGATCGCCCGTAAATTATTTTTCCTTAAATTTTGTTATATTCTCTTCCTTTTTCCAATGGGCTTCTTCCTACTATTTTTTTTTTTCACTTTTTACCATATTCAATTCATTACATTAATATTAATATATACAAGTCAGCCCTGGTCTAATTGTCCATGTTATATTTAATACATCCCCTTTGATCTGACTTATTAGGTTCATATTAATATGTTAACATTAAGAATAATAAATGGTATTTATTTAGAAAGACACAGGAGTTCGTCTTATTTCGAAACTTATTTGTCTTACATCATACATGTGCTTACATTTTGACCAATCAAACAATGGCACAATTTTTTTTAATACGAGCTCGTTGTAAAGCGAAGTAATTCTTATTATTAAACTTGAGCATGAATAATTCTATATCCTTTACCAAATATAATAATACTAATAAAATCTCTTTATTGCACACACAAAAAGAGAACAAAAACAATACAATAACAGGAAAGTGTACAAGAGGCGGCTTTATCGCTAAAACAGCAATTTCTTCCAGGCAACCTTTAGTTGTAGGAAATAGAAGTGTACAAGTGTGTACTAGCAGTGTGTATGTGTATTAAGAAACATTAAAAAAATAATCAAATAATATTATTCAAAACTATTATTACCACCTCAGATGGTCATTTTGTGTGTAGCCAAATATTGCAAGGCTTATCCAGAGAATACTGAGATAGTATGAATATCTGTCATTTTATTTTTGTATAGAATTTTACTCCTTTATGAACATGTGTTAACAGTGCATAGAATATAATTAAAAAGAAACAAAATATATAGGTACTTAAAGTTATCCATATTTTTTTTTGTAACAAATTAATTTGTATAGCAAAGGTTTTATAAAAAATATGTTACTAGCGTATTCCCGCGGCACCGCACGCGTAGTTCAATTATGTATTATTAAGTATATCTTTAAAAATTATAGCCTATATTACTCTGATGCATTACTCCGGAGTACTGTAAAGTTTCATCAAAATCCGTTCAGTAGTTTTGTAGTAACAAATACATGTACATCCATCCATCATCAAACTTTTGCGTCTAAAATATACGTAAAAAGTGGGATATTATTATATATATTTATAAAATAAAAGACAGTTATAATATTTTCACTTCTCTTTTATTATAATTCAGTACAAAACGGATAGTTTCAAAATACTTCTTCAAGCTCCCACAGCTCACATATATATCACCACCAGCACATCAGCATTTGTATAATTACCTATTATCCAATCTTCTAATTAAACTAAATTTAGCTCGTTGGTAATTGCTGTACAGATCAGCGACATCTTTAAACGAGCAATTCTCTTATATATATATATATATATATATATATATATATATATATATTATATATATATATATATATATGTATGTATAAGATCTAGATTAGTCTTATGTCTGAGAAAACACGTGTTTTCAAGTTTTCAGGCAGTTTTCTTTTAATTATTTATTCAAGTTTTTAGTTAAAAAAAAGAAAGTTGTACTCGGTAGCCCAGGTACTGTCAAGTTTAACTATAGAAGTTTTTTAGTTTCAAAACTATAACAGTTCTTTGATAAGATGATGTTCAATATTTGGTGTAAATCTCCGTTCATAAATCTCCGGGATAACAGTACATGAAGTTATTGATTTTGATACCGAAATGCTAATCCATGGGAGTATAATAATGAAATAATTTCAGATACATCTGCGTCTATGCAGGCACATAAGCACATGCCAACTTTATTTCTCGCAGTTGGCTAACCTCAGCGATATCAGTACTTTATTTCTCACAGATGATCGCGCTAACCTCATCGATATCAGCCACTACCAATGACTGAATTTTAATCAAGACAATATATACATATATCACCATCTTCATTTCCATTTTATTAGTAAAATGATAAAGAGACATTTTTTCACCTCCATTTTTCATAGTCGACGTTAAGCTCAAAAAATATAATTACTAGGCAAATTGCTAAGCATTTTTAAATACTATCCTTTACACTGTTTTTGAGCTATTCTTGCGTCCCCAGATATGAGTTGCAGCTTGGACAATAATGGACAGCTTTTTTGCATACATTTGTATAGTAAGGAATGATAACACAAGGCCAGCATCTGAAATAAAAAATAGGTTACAGTACTGACCTAATATCAGCTAATTACTAAATTGTTCTCCATAAAGCCGATTATTTATTTACACAGAATATTCAACCCTATGTCTTTCAAATCTATACCTATATTATAAAGTAAAGTTTCTGAGGTTGTAGGGGGTAATCTCTGGATCTCCTGAACCGATTTAGATGAAATTTAGTAAGAAGATAGATTGAGAACCTGGGAAGGATGTAGGATACTTTTTATCCCGGAAATCATCCCTTAAGGGGGTGAAAATGGAGATGGAAGTTTGTATGGGGAATCAACCTAGGGACGTGTTATAGAAAGAAAATATAAGAGAAGGTTAGTGAAAATAAGCAAAGTGACTTCTATCTTCTCTTCGGTGATGCATTATACGTTTGTAATGCCAGTAAATAACGCTAACCTACATATGTTCGTTAGAGATACCTACAAGACGTTCATAATCTATTCTGTATAATACCTCAAATAAAGCTGTCGTGCAATCATCAATGTAACTGATTGATTATAAAAAATGTATCAGATAAAAAACGATAAAAATATGGAATAAATTATCGGACAATTGCTTATTTTTTAAGATAAAAATTTCAACAATCTTTGATATAAATATATACATTATTTATTTCTTATTATCACAATCGGACTTCAATTATAAATGCGAAAGGTGGTTTGTATGTATGTATGTTTGTTTGTTACGCTGAAAAGGCTGGACGGATTTGGATAAAATTTAGTACAAAGATAGGCAGTCTATCTAAAAGCGACTCATACATACTATAAAGCACCTAAACACCTAAGCACCTAAGCAAAATGGGGAAAGTCGCGAGTAGTATTATAAATGCGAAAATATGTCAGTATGTTTGTTATAGCTTCAAGCAGTAACTGTTATTTGAGTACACACTACACATGCTACTTTTCATTCAGATACTTCTGATGTGTGATCTGATGTGAGAGGTGCCCCTAGCAAAAAGCAGTAATAATATTAAAAAAAATATCATACGTAAACTATTTTATACCAATGTATACGAATTTGTACAATTGAAATATTTTTTTTGGATATTTTACTGACAATTCGTCACTGTTTCGTTTAGGCCTCGTGACTTTTATTATAATGAAATTAAAGAACAATTTAGTATAACTATTTTAAAACTTTATAACTTTTTTTGCAATATAAATTGAACAGATTGCTCGTAACTTCCTTTATTCTGGACACAACTGTGCATTGCATCATAATATACGGGAAATAGGTGATATATGTGAATAAGCACTAAGTACCTTTATCGCAAAAATAGTAGATAATAAATAGTTGTTAGCCAAACGCGTCTTTTTATATATTGCTATTATGAAAAAAAAATCACTTGCCCAACAAACGTATTACAAAATCTCACTAATATTCAAAATGCGAAAGTTGTGACTTCCTTCTTCACACTATAATAGATCAACGGATTTGAATAAAATTTAGAATAGAGATAGCTTATATCCAGGATTAACACATAGGATACTTATATCGACGTACCACGTGACCGGAAAGGCGAGTAGAATTCTAGTCTATGTAATATTATAAAGTGGCAAAGTTTATTTGTTTATCTTTTTGCATTAGATAGTCCACTTATTAAGGAAGGCATATATATATATATATATATATATATATATATATATATATATATATATATATATAATATTAGTCGTCACACTAATCGTTCGTAATCGAGGTCGAGTCACTAGTTTTATATACATAATACTAGAATTCTACACGCGACTCCGTTCGGGTGGTACGTCGCGTCGGTATATATAAAATGTTAATATATTTCATTTAACTCATGAAATCACTCAGTAATTCAATAATTATAAACACTTACAACATAAGACACAGTACACCAGCCATAAAATGCGTTCGAATCGAAACGGCTCTTTCAATCCTTGTTGCAATTCGTTGATTACAAAACGAACACGTCATAACAAATGGTTCATATCCGAAAGGTCCAACCAAAATAGTAGGTTGTGAAATTGGTTGTGTAGTTATTACTCCTGTTGTCATTTCTCCAGGATAGAAAGAAATAGGCGATGTGACAGGTGGTCCATGATAACTTTGGGGCAGTGGACCAGAGTAACTTGGTGGTTCCATTGTAGGTATATGCTTTGCCTCAGAAGAATTTTCTACATTCATTTCCTTCACTGAAATCATTTTTATAATTATTGAGCATTTAAATTTGCAAGAATAAGGTGTGTTGACTTAAATATTATAAACTAACGAAAATATTAATAAATCTAATAACATGTCAGTTACCAGCCCATAAGTTATTTTTTTTTCAATAGTTATTATGAGTATGCACTCAAAATAATAATAATAAGCATAAATTGAAAAAACTTTAGTAATGAAATAAAAAATAAGTACGTAAATATTACTTTAACTTTATTAACAAATTAAAAATATTCTTACATTGTGTCTCAATTTTTCGTAACGCTCAGTATGATGATAAAACTGTAACTAATCTGCTATATCTTTTATACGTAAATAAATACTATCGAGCCTATCGCTACATTCATCTAGATAATATTTTATATATAATAATAAGTGAGTCATGGTTTTGCACGTATTTATTAACCGACTTCCAAAAAGGAGAAGGTTCTCAATTCTTCGGAATCTTGTTTTTATGTATGTTCACCGATTACTCGAAGACAACTGAACCGATTTGGAAAATTTTTGTTTTGTTTCAATAGGTATACTTCCCATATAAATTTTTATCGAAATCGGTCGAGCGGTTTTTAAAAAATCAATAATAAATATTTTTTAAATAAATTGTTTAATCGAATATGTTATTATATAAAACATTCTTCTTACAAATTACCTTATTACGTCTACAATAAAAATGGAAAAATAAAAACTAAAAAAAAAGGCTTCCAGGCACTAAAATGTAAAAAAATAACTTAACGGAGGTTTTCCGATGCAAAGCAAATCTAATATATTTCGATACGTAAAATACATATTTACCTATTAGATATTCATATCTTAAAATATTGTAGTAAAAAAGTATAGGTCAAACCCTCCTAGCCCCTTCCCCACTTCTCTAAGAAATACCTTTTGATGGACTAAAATTTTCCGTGGGTCACTCAGGGATATAAGTTATATTAAAATAAAAATAAATAAACATATACTTTAAAGAAGATTCTAGAACTTTCTCAAAATATTGTAGATGTCTTATTAAATATTAACTTTATTAATTGCATTTTCTGAGAAAATTTACTATGACTTGACTTATGTTCCTATGTCCCCTAGGTGAGGCAGAGGGCGTCCACAGTGCATCGCCATCCCGTTCGGTCTTGAGCTAGGCGTTTCATTTCGCTCCAGGTTTTCCCGATGGCCTTCGCTTCGCTAATGACTGTCCGCCGCCAGGTTTGTTTAGGACGGCCGCGTATGCGTTTACTATAGTAATGTATATTTTTTTACACCATTAGAAAGGAGAGATTTCAACGAAAAAGAAGCTAATCCAGTTTTTAAAAAAAAACACAGATATTTTGACGCGAGAATTTTCGATTGAAAATAATGGTGCTTCTTCTATATTAAGTCAAAATAAGGTGAAAAAATAAATATTTTAAATCAAAAAAATTACGGTATATTTGGGACAAAAAAGGTAAGTTTTCACCAAATTTCGTGAAAAGATTTTTTTTTGTAAAAGATAAAAATAAAAAACCAAAAACTTGGTTATTTGAATTTTTCACACAAATTTTGAGGTTATGTGAAAAAAGTGTAAATACAGGAGTTGTAGATCTTTTTATTGCCTACAACTTCTCCATTTAACTTTTTCCCATAGGACTTGTAGTTTTGTCAGAAATCGAGATAAAACCGTTTTTTACCCTTAAAAACTCACCCCCTCCCACTACCCGACCTCAGATCGCATGTAAATTATTTTTCCTTAAATTTTGTTATATTCTCTTCCTTTTTCCAATGGGCTTCTTCCTACTATTTTTTTTTTTCACTTTTTACCATATTCAATTCATTACATTAATATTAATATATACAAGTCAGCCCTGGTCTAATTATCCGTGTTATATTTATTACATTCCTTTGATCTGACTTATTAGGTTCTTATTAATATGTTAACATTAAGAATAATAAATGGTATTTATTCAGAAAGACACAGGAATTCGTCTTATTTCGAAAATTATTGTGACTTACATCATACATGTGCTTACATTTTGACCAATCAAACAATGGCACAATTTTTATAATACGAGCTCGTTGTAGACTGAAGTAATTCTTATTATTAAACTTGAGCATGAATAATTCTATATCCTTTACCAAATATAATAATACTAATAAAAACTCTTTATTGTACACACAAAAAGAGAACAAAAACAATACAATAACAGGAAAGTGTACAAGAGGCGGCTTTATCGCTAAAACAGCGATTTCTTCCAGGCAACCTTTAGGTGTAGGAAATAGAAAAGTGTACAAGTGTACTAGCAGTGTGTATGTGTATTAAGAAACATTAAAAAAATAATCATATAATATTATTCAAAACTATTATTACCACCTCAGATGGTCATTTTGTGTGTAGCCAAATATTGCAAGGCTTATCCAGAGAATACTGAGATAGTATGAATATCTTTCATTTTATTTTTGTATAGAATTTAACTCCTTTATGAACATGTGTTAACAGTGCATAGAATATAATTAAAAAGAAACAAAATATATAGGTACTTAAAGTTATCCATATTTTTTTTTGTAACAAATTAATTTGTATAGCAAAGGTTTTATAAAAAATATGTTACTAGCGTATTCCCGCGGCACCGCACGCGTAGTTCAATTATGTATTATTAAGTATATCTTTAAAAATTATAGCCTATATTACTCTGATGCATTACTCCGGAGTACTGTAAAGTTTCATCAAAATCCGTTCAGTAGTTTTGTAGTAACAAATACATGTACATCCATCCATCATCAAACTTTCGCGTCTAAAATATACGTAAAAAGTGGGATATTATTATATATATTTATAAAATAAAAGACAGTTATAATATTTTCACTTCTCTTTTATTATAATTCAGTACAAAACGGATAGTTTCAAAATACTTCTTCAAGCTCCCACAGCTCACATATATATCACCACCAGCACATCAGCATTTGTATAATTACCTATTATCCAATCTTCTAATTAAACTAAATTTAGCTCGTTGGTAATTGCTGTACAGATCAGCGACATCTTTAAACGAGCAATTCTCTTATATACATATACTAGCATTGCCCGCGGCTCCGCCCGCGTTCAGATGACCAAAAACTAAATTCTTAGGTGTTACATATTAGTATACTCTTACATTGCAGTTTTTGTATTTTTCCTCAGAAATAAGATATTTTCCCGCGGTAAAAAGTATCCTAGGATCGCGCGCTACATCGCCCGGTTTATATAGCTTGAGCAGGCGGTCGAGCGATGCGGGGCAGAGGGGATGGACTCGCCGTAGGCATCTCAATGCTCGCCAAGCATTAAAAATGTTTCGCTACTAATTACTTCTAACAACGATATCTCAAAAACTATTCATCTGATTGATTTAGTGTAAAGAGCAATTTTAATCTGCATTAAATGACTAAGCTAACTAAAATATTCATTTGGATAAGGATTAATACCGAACTAAAGAAAATAACTTTGAAAATAACGTAATGTTTTTAATTAAAAATGTTAACATAAAAGTGGTTATTGTAAATCAACCGTAAGAGATAGAGATATGCTATCGCGGACTTTTTTGTAGCATTTTTATAGATTTTGAATTCTCTAGTACATTACTTAACTGTATCTTTGCTAGTTTACGCGGCGTTCGCGTGGAAAGTTCCCATTTGGCGAGATTTTTTGCGACCTCTTCAACATTTGTCGCCGTATTTCAGCTAATTTACATAAAAGCATAATAAATTATATACCTAAACCTTCCTCAAGAATTACTCTTTCTATTGTTGAAAACCGTATAAAAATCCGTTCAGTAGTTTTCGAGTTTATCGCGTACAGACAGACAGGAGGACAGAAAGACGCGGCCGGGGGACTTATTTTTATAATAAGTATAGATATATATATATATATATATATATATATATATATATATATATATATATATATATATAAGATCTAGATTAGTCTTATGTCTGAGAAAACACGTCTTTTCGAGTTTTCAGGCAGTTTTCTTTTAATTATTTATTCAAGTTCTTAGTTAAAAAAAAGAAAGTTGCACTCGGTAGCCCAGGTACTGTCAAGTTTAACTATAGAAGTTTTTTAGTTTCAAAACTATAACAGTTCTTTGATAAGATGATGTTCAATATTTGGTGTAAATCTCCGTTCATAAATCTCCGGGATAACAGTACATGAAGTTATTGATTTTGATACCGAAATGCTAAGCCATGGGAGTATAATAATGAAATAATTTTAGATACATCTGCGTCTATGCAGGCACATGCCTACTTTATTTCTCGCAGTTGGCTAACCTCAGCGATATCAGCCACTACCAATAATTGAATTTTAATCAAGACAATACATACATATATCATCATCTTCATTTCCATTTTATTATTAAAATGATAAAGAGAAATTTTTTCACCTCCATTTTTCATAGTCGACGTTAAGCTCAAAAAATATAATTGCTAGGCAAATTGCTAAGCATTTTTAAATACTATCCTTTACACTATTTTTGAGCTATACTTGCGTCCCCAGATATGAGTTGCAGCTTGGACAATAATGGACGGCCTTTTTGCATACCTTTGTACAGTAAGGAATGAGAACACAAGGCCAGAATCTGAAATAAAAAATAGGTTGCAGTAATTACATAATATAAGGTAATTTTTTAAATGCTCTCCATGAAGCCGATTATTTATTTACACAGAATATTCAAACCTGTGTCTTTGAAATCTATACTTAATATTATAAAGAGGTAAACTTTATGAGGTTGTGAGGTTGTAGGGGGTAATCTCTGGATCTCCTGAACCGATTTAGATGAAATTTAGTAAGAATATAGTTTGAGACCCTAGAAATGATGTAGGATACTTTTTAACCCAGAAATCGTCCCTTAAGGGGGTGAAAATGGAGATGGAAGTTTGTATGGAGAATTAACTTAAGGACGAACCCGAACGGGCGAGGGTGAGTCACTAGTTTTATATAATACTAGAATTATACTCGCAACTCCGGTCGTGTAGTACGTTGATAAATATAAAATATAATATATTATTAATCACTTAACTCAAAAAATCACTCAGCAATTCAATTATAAACACTTACAACATAAGACACAGCAAGCCCGCCACAAAATGCGTTCCAAACCAAACTATTCTTTCAATCCTTGTTGCAATTTGTTGATTACAAAACGGACACCTCATAACAACTGGGTCATGTCCTAAAGTGTTAACCATAATAATAGGTTGTGAAATTGATTGTGTAGTTATTACTTCTGTTGTCATTTCTCCAGGATAGAAAGAAATAGAGGATGTGACAGGTGGTCCATGATAACTTTGGGGCAGTGGACCAGAGTAACTTGGTGGTTCCATTGTAGGTATATGCTTTGCCTCAGAAGAATTTTCTACATTCATTTCCTTCACTGAAATCATTTTTATGATTATAAAGTATTTAAATATGCAATAATAAGGTTAATAAAGTAAAAAAATAATTATAATCTAACGAAAATATTAATAAATCTAATAACATGTCAGTCACCTGCCCATGCATTATTTTTTGCAAAAGTTACGATGAGTTGGTGCACGCTTGATTAAAGGTCAAACTGATCAAATTACATACTACTTTAAGAATGATAATCATATATTTAAAAAATCTTTAGTTATGAAATAAAAAATAAGTAGGTATCTGGTATAATAAGTAAATAATATTATATAATAATATTCTTACATTGGGTCTCCATTTTTCGTAACGCTCAGTATGATGATATAACTATAACTAACTATAACTACGTACTTCTTTACGTAAATAAATATTATCGAGCCTATCGCTGCCTCTATCTATAATAATTTATCCACAATACGCTGTGTGCCATGGTTTTGCACGTATTTATTTATGTACTAGCGACTCACTCTCGCTCCGCTCGGATTCGTCCCTAGGTGATTCTTTAAATTGACGTAACTTTTTTATTTATGAGCCGATTGAAATAAAACAAATACTAAATGTTAAGTGTAGCTTATCACAACATATTAGTGAAACCCGCATCCAAATCGGTTAAGCCGTTTCTGAGATTATCGCGCACAAACGTACAGACAAACAGACAAAAATTCTAAAAATCATTGTTTTGGGTTTTATTGCGTAAATAAAGGCCCCCAATGATAGTTTTTCTCAAATGTCTTCCATGAAGAGTAAATAGGATTTTAAAGGGTCGGCAACGCGCATGTGATGCCCCTGGTGTTGCATGCGTCCATAGGCTACGGTAACCGCTTACCAACAGGCGGGCTGTATGCTTGATTGCCACCGTCGTGGTATAAAAAAAAATGTAGAGACAGCGATCAGTTTTACTTTTATTATATGTAAAGATTTATATGTACTTTACTTTATATGTCTTCTTTTTGTATTCCAATTAAATACCTGTGTTTCTAATAAAAATGTTCTTATTTAAAAAGATCATCCATTTATCGCGACGCTTTCTATTCTAGGAACAAATATATCGAATATATCTTTATTTCTAGTATATATTTAGTATATTTTTTGCACTATATTGCCCGCTGACATCTTCTTCCACATCTAGGGGTTGACTCGAAGAGATCTCTTTTAGAGATAAGTCCACCTTTGTGAACTATGTTTATTTTTGTTATTTTTTCTGTATCATATTTTAAGTGCAATAAAGAATATAATATAATAATCATAATTACTACTATACTATACTAGTTAAAATAAAAAGTAATCTGCTTATGTTTTATTAGTGTGTAGTGTATATTCAAATAACTTTTAAAGCGTGAAGAGATAGATAACAAACGTACTTACAGATTTTTCTCTTTTGATACTATTGGCGACAAGTTTATAACTCCAAATGATTGGTGTAAATATACACACGGTGCTGCGTCGCCAGTTTGGCTAGAACTTAGCTGGATACGCTACCGCGTGTCTTGATGTTATTGGCGACTTTTGCTCAGGTGCCTCTCTAGGTACCTTACAGTATATATAAGTCGCGGTCAAAGTCTATCTTTGTAGTTTTCATCCAAATCTGTCCAGCAATTTAAACGTGGAGGAGTAACAAACATACACACATACAAACCACCTTTCGCATTTATAATAGTAGTCCGATTGTGGTAATAAGAAATGACTAATGTGTATATATTTACGAGTATTTCAAAGATTATATTATCGACATTCTATTTAAAAAATAAGCTTTCTGATAATTTATTCCATATTTTTATCGTTTTTCGTAATAGATATCACCGATATCGATACCGATACATTTTTTATATTAACAACAAGTTTATTTGAAGTATTATACAAAATAAATTACGAATATCTTGTAGGCATAGGTATCTGTTACTTACATATGGACATACGGTCTTAGGCTATGCCTTATTCACTGCCATTTCAAGCGTCATAGCGAAGGGCGGAGAGATGAGAGAAATCACTTTGCTGATTTTTACTGACCTTTTATTTTTTCTTTATGAAATAAATTTTTAGAGACATAGGCACGAATATACTATTCTGTATAATTAGATATACGGAGAGATTATAATTAAAATACTTTGACGACACGTTCGGCTCAGTTTGTAATGACCCTACTTGCTGCGCCAGCGGTCGCGGGTTCGAGTCTCGCTGGGGGCATTCATTTGTATGATGAGCACGAATGTTTGTACTCCAGTCATGGATGTTTATATTTATAATATGTATGTATTAAAGTTATGTATGTATAATGTATCAACTATCTAGTATCCATAACACAAGCCTCGTAGCTTACCATGGAACTAGATGTTATTGTGTGTTAATGTCTTGACATATTTTGTTTTTAAAATTAAAATACTATAAACTTATTAATATTAGCTTATATGTGCATGTAATATATAATTACTGCAATCTATTTTTTATTTACTGTACAAGTGTGTGCAAATAGGCCATCCATTATTGTCCAAGCTGCAACGTATATGTAAAGACGCAACTATAACTCAATAAGGGTTATTTCCTATTTACCTATTTAATATTATAAGAATAAGTAATAAACCAAAGAAATTAAGTTTGAAATAATGTAAGGGATAATATTTAAAAATGACTCGCAATTTTATTCTCTTAACTTAAACAGAAATTAAAAGGGACGAAATACCGTCTGTATCTGTAAAAAATGCCCAAATTATGATAAACCTCTATGAGATAAAATATTTCTTAGAAACTATAGAAACTACTCGTACTAACAGGCAAACAATGATATTTATTTTATCAGTTATGATTCAAAGAAGTATACGTACGTTTTCTATCTATCCACAAAGACAAAAACATAACGATAAAGTAAACGATAAATACGTAAATAATAATCATTTAGCAGTAAATTTTCATCAATTTATCTATTCACATAAAATGAATCACTTCATATAGGTATAAGTACTTACTATAAATTAATAATATTTATTTTTAAAAAGTTAATTCATATCGCGTTTAAAATATCCGTATCTGTATGAAATTAAAAAAAATATACTAAATTGTAGTTTTTTGGAGCTGGCTATTTTTTTTTACAATTATATAACGATATTGTATAAAAAAAATCACACATACATCCTATTTTATACTGTTTTACCTATCTTTAAAACTGATATTAATAATACTTATTTTATTCGAAGCTTACGTATAAGCGTTTTCCTTTCCCCCATTGTATTTTTTTCTTATTATCAGATTACAATTTTTTTTTCCTACCGTCGCACTCTGTACAGTGGACACTGGTTTGACCAATTCATTTTTTTCACAATTACTTCTTAATTGATTTGAAGGCATAATTTAAACTAAAGATTCAAATAAGGTAAGTAAATATATCTACGTTTTATTGATGCTTCCCAGTACAAACTTTCATCCCCATTCTTACGCCTTTAAGGTATGATTTTCGGGATAAAAACTATTTCACTCACTTATCATATCATGAGATTTAAAAAAACTTTTTATAGTAAGAAATTCTCTTCTATTAATTTTCATATTATTTTCTATACAAAACTTTCTGACAATAACAAACACAAAAAAAAGAATGATCCAATTTGGTGCAGTCGATCCGAAGTTATGCGCGTACATACATTTCGATGATTCATTTTTATTTATGTAGATTGATAGCTGAGACGAACTAAGAAATAAACTAGAATAACAAAAAGATTATTCATAGGTTTAAATATAATAGTTTGATTATAGAACATGCACCAGAAGGTGGCATGACTGCAGGGCGTCACTAACATTTACTATTTAAGTTTTTTTCCACTAGATAGACCCAAGTTTTTAAATCAAATCACAGAACTAATATATCGCAGTTATATCGCTTTCTTTAAGAATTCTATAATATAACCAGAAAATATAGTCTTTGAAGTTAATTAAGCGTCATTTGTAACAATATTATGTAAGTAACTTGACAACTTTCTCCAATTTCTACAATTTGTTAGAATCGTAGAAATGTAAATTTTTGTTGCGAAGAAGTATCTATTTAACAGGTGCAAATACTATATTTACAAAATTAAACAATTTCTTCATAAGTATAATTTATTTTATTTATTTTATCTGATATTCAAAGTTAGTAATCTTAAAGGGCTAACTTAAAGTAAATTTTTCAAATGAACTTGGATGAACAAAAACAAATCGATTATACAAATATTTACTGATGCAATTACTTCTTTAGGTATATTTATTAGTAACCGACCGAAATTTCGGCTTCGGCTGAAAAACCAGTTTCGGTCGGACACTAATATTTATCATCCATGCGTACTTGAAAAATTCATAAATACCTGTGGAACATAAGGATAGATGTTTTTTTACATGAAACATTTTATATGTACAATTATTATATAAAGTGATAATAGTATATAACAGTATATAATATATAAAACTAAACTACAACAAATAACAAATTATTATAAAAAAACGTAAAATAAACATAAATAAATCAATAATATATCCTCATTCTTTTTATCTCAGTGTTATTTTATCTAAACTAATTAGATAAATAGGAGATCAAATTTGTTTCCTAAATCATGCTTGGTAAGTGCCTAAGTACGAGTTACAATTGGGACAGTAGTGATCTGCGTTTTTGCAGCTATTCATACAATAGGGCACGCAAATGCAAGGCCAGCATCTGAAACGAATAATAAAAATTAATGGCTTCTGGTTCAAATAAGATTTTACTTGAAGAAACTTTACTTAATATGTAACCACACCACTAATATAAATTTGAAGGCTTATCTGTCTGTATTTTTATTTCTCTTTCACGCTTAAACGGCTGGATGATTTGGATGAAATTAAGCTCATACTATGAAATGGAGTAAAACATAGGTCTGTTAGTAAAATAAAATTTGGGATAAGATGGCGCTATCTGTAAACAATAAAACCTGTCCTTTTAGTTTTTTCTCTTATCAAAATATCAATAGTACCTACATTTTAGTATGTTGCGAAACTTTGGGCGACTATCAGAAATACCAATATACAGATGTGCAAAATATATTTCTCCTCATTAGAAGGCCGTAGGTGAATCATATTTAATTATATTTAGTTTGCAGTCCTTGGTATCTATAAACTACTTACAATCTTTACGCTATTTTTCGCCATTCGCAAGGTCTTTCCAACGAATTACAATGTTACAGACCGACTTCACAAAAGTAGCAGGTGGAAAGTGTTCGGCGCTTTGTTTTTTTTTGAACATATGTATATTGTTCCTCGATTTCTCGGAGGACTTGACCAGTGTAACTAGTATAAATGTTATTCAATTATTGTAGAGATTACAGTACAATAATTTAGTCCCATCGGCCTGATTTTAAAGCATACATAAGTGCCTTATATTATTATTACCTACATAGATAGCCTAAAGACAATTAAAGGCTTCAGATAGTTATCAAGTAGTAGATACCTATGCTCAAAGATAACAGCCCTAAACATAATATCATACTAACAAGCATAGTTTACAGTATATAATCTGCTAACATGTTGTGTATGTTCTACTGTAGGTATACTTGTAAAAAGTATCTATACTAATATTATAAAGAGGTAAAGTTTGTGAGTTTGTGACATTGTAGGGGGTAATCTCTGAATCTACTGAACCGATTTAGATAAAATTTGGTAAGAAGATAGTTTGAGGCCCTGGGAAAGACATAGGATACTTTTTATCCCGAAAATAATTCCTTAAGAGGGTGACAATAGGGATGAAAGTTTGTATTGAGAAGCAAGCCAGGGACGAAACCGAGTGAAGCGAGGTTGAGTCGCTATATTATATATACAGTTAAATAAAATAGAAGTGTCTGTTTGTAATGTCAAAATAACAGCTTTTTAGTAAATGCATATGGAATTATGTACGGTATTTATAAGAAAAACATATTTTTTTAAAAATTTGTCTGTCTGTCTATTTACTCTCTCTCTCTGTCTACTCTGTATAATATAAGAAGTAACTTAGGCTACTTTTATTTTAGTAAAAGAATTAGGGTTCCACTAAAAAAAAAAATCTAGGGACGATGAGTACTCAATATTTTCTCAATCGTAATATTAAATATTATAACTATAAATGACATGCACTCAACTTCAGCCAATTGGAAGTACAAATGTTGAAATCCTTATCTAAAGGATATCTACCTATATAATTATATGTAAATAGTAGGAGAATTTGTTTGTTTGCGCTTATCTCTGGAACTACATATCTGCTTTAAATTTTTTTTTAATCTAACATCTACCTTTATGAGAGGTTAAATTATCAACTACTACTAATAATCTACTAGCTTCATTACCTTCAATTTTTATGGTTATTTTTTATATTTATAAAATATGTTTGCTGTGTAATCATAATAACATTAATTGAAGTAGGAAAACTACAAATTAAATGTCATTACATTTGACACGCACTTTCGTTCAATCTATACATATAATAAAATTGTAACTAAGTCGAATCTGTACATTAAATATTTTGTGGAAAATCTAAATGAAATAGACATTATTATCGATAGAGTCCGAATCGAATATAGTTTTTAGAATTTTTATCTGTCTGTCTGTTACCCATCACGAGAAAACCACTGGACAGATTTTGATTAAATTTGGTATGATGATAGCTGCATATCCGGGTCAACATATAGGATACTTTTTACCGCGGGAAATTAACTCATTCCTGAGAAAAAATACAATAACTGCATTGTAAGAGTATACTAATATGTAAAACCTAAGAATTCGGTTTTCAGTCATCTGAACGCGGGCGGAGCCGCGGACAATGCTAGTATTATATAGTTTTTTTTAAGAAACGTGCACTAAATTTCAATTCGATAAGTAAATTAAGAAAATATTTTGTTTTATTATATCTATGAAATTCTCTCAGGTATTTAAGAGCACATTATAAACAACCTATTTATAAGTTTCATAAAATTATTTCAAACGTTTTAAATGATTAAATTATCAACTTTAGATATCACTTTAGATTACATGCGACATGTTTATACTTCTTGCCACATAATTCACGTATGTTTACTGATGAATGTTTAATGTACATCGCATAGATTATGGTATTTTCGACAGACTATCATAATTGTGGACATTTCCACAAACTTGAGCATCAAAATCGATTTTTCATGACCTTCGTAAACACAGTAGTTACACATGTAGTTATTTTCTGGCTACTTTTTGTTAAATATATGTTTATCGTTATTTTAAATATGTTAATCGTTTTCATGATAACGTTTAAATTTCTAAAACAATTTGAAGACACGTTTGGCTCAGTTTGTAGTAACCCTACTTGCTATGCCAGCGGTTGCGGGTTTGAATCCCGCTGGGGGTATTCATTTGTGTGATGATCACGAATGTTTGTATTCGTCATGGGTGTTTATATTTATAATTTTTCCTAGCAATAAAAAATAACTCTAAGCCCCAAACACACACAAAAATAAATTTATCCGTTAAGTTATCGTTTTAACCTGTCCCAACATGTCTATCTGAACAATTAGCTTTAATTAGTTACACTGGCCACGTTAGGAATTTAAACTATCACCACCTCCTCAAATATCTTGCTCAATAATAGCTTCATGATTAATTAATTATTACTTCAGCTTCACACAGACACCAATGATTTACATGTATGTTTTATGTATAAGAAATAGTCTTATAATCTAAATAAATTTGATAAAATAAACTCACAAAAATATAAAAAGAAGACAAGCTATTATGTGTGTTCTTGTCGTAGAATTGTAGTCCACTCGACTCACAATGGTGGCTCTGCAAGAAGGACAGACCAATCTGGCGGGCTCTGGTCCTACCGGTGCGATATTCATGATTTCTGAAAAATACAAATATTATTATAATAAGTTATAATAAAAATAAATAATCCGACTGCATAAAAGCTAACTAAAAAGATGAAAACAAGTTCACGATGGAATATAGTATTATGCAGTCGGATACATGTTTCATCCTTGCGCAAGATGTACATACTCGTATGTACGAGTATGTATGTCTCCGACTGTAACTCTGTGTATTTAATTTTAATACTAAACAGAGTTGTTTATTCAATATGAAATAATAGTTATTTGATCTGTTTGTTGGATTGATTAAAAGATAATTTTGACTTTTATTATAGGTAAGTATACGAGTGAAACTGCCTCGGTGGTGTAGTGGCTAGCATGTACGGCTGCACACCCGGAGGTCCTGGGTTCGAGTCCCGGGTCGGGCCAAGTTTAGTTATTGAGTCTTTCTGTATAAGTAAGCCTCAGTAACAGCCCGGAGTTGGGAAGTTGGCGGTGTTTCACCCCCGTGCCTCGGAGAGCACGTAAAGCCGTCGGTCCTGCGCCTTAACTCTCACTGGTCGTGTCGAGCAGTCGTCCCACCGGAGTATGAGAGTGACAGGAATAGAGAGTGCACTTGTGTCTGCGCGTACACTTGTGCACTATAATATCTCCTGCGCAGTTGGCTAGTCTCAATGTGATTGGCCGCCGTGGCCGGAATCAGTCAGGAGAACATCAAGTATACGAGTAAAACACATTTTGTACCACAACGTAGTATTGCGGCAGATCGTATTGTAAAAACTAAAGATACAAAGGATACAAATTACAATACTATAGATACAATAATGATGACGGTAGGTAATATACTTACACGTTTTGACGTAAATTGGTTTCAATAATTGTTCTACAACAGGTTTATATTTTCATAACAGGTTTGTTTGTCTTTTATAATCACTGAATTCGGCATAGGAATATTATGATATGGGAGAGTTTATAACTTTTAATCTTCATAACTTCTTTTTGTCTCTATCATTTTTTAAGAATAATTTTATACTGACAACTAGCGACTCACCCTCGCTCCGCTCGGGTTCGTCCCTGGGGTGGGGTCTGGGAGGACCACCCTTATCCTTATCACTTAGGGGTATGGAAAATAGATAGTAGCCGATTCTCAGACCTACTGAATACGCATATAAAATTTGGTAAAAATCGGTAAAGCCGTTTCGGAGGAGTACGGTAACTAACATTGTGACATGGAAATTCTATATATAAGATTAGTCAACATATTTAGACATCCTATCCCAAAAATATAACCCAGGGAGTAGTTCTTATAAACTAAAATCATGCTTTTTTTTTGTAAATATTCAGTCAATTGCTGATACCTATTTTACAAAACTTCAATACTTCAGAATTAAAAAAAGTTTAATAATAGTAAATTATTCTTTTAAAAATACGTTATAATATAATAAGTAAATGTTCGATCAAATTTTGTCCAATAACTTTTTCGTAACTAATAGAATTAAGTCATTTTTTTTCATGAACAGATTTCTTATTCAATAACAATAATAGCAAGCGACCCACAAAGTAAGCCATATATCCTCAGTTTTACTTTCATCTTGTTTACGCTAGAAACGAACGCTCGCACTCCGCAGTTTTAACCTACTTTCGATAGTTGGTAAAACATATAGAATCTTTCAATAAAATACACGATACACAAAAATTAAACTTTTACTTCAAACCAAAACACCAAAATATTATAGTTAAAATCTATACCTTTTATATTTTAACTTTTTTTTCAATGAACACAGTATATATCAATAAACACTACACAGTCTTGTTATCGTTTAAAGCGACTTCGCCGTGGCAGAATCAACAGGCAACTAAAAGTGTGCTTGCGGTCTCTTCACTCTTGATGAATGTCACTATATTGTCGTTTTGAATTAATTTGTACGTATATTTTACTATTTAACTATGCCTTATCTAAATGCAGTGTTGCATTATTAGATAAAATATATTTTAAGAATTTGGGCCATATGACACTTTATTGCGTTTTTTAAGTACACCTACGTCCTACACTACTCTTAAGTTTTATTTAAAATTTTATTTAATGCTACACTTCGTTATATATATATAAATCTATACATATAATAAAATTGTAACTAAGACGAATCTGTACATTACATATTTTTTGTCAAATCTTAAAATAAGACATTATTTTCGATACAGAGGCCGAATCAATAGTTTTTAGAATTTTTGTCTGTCTGTCTATCTGTTACCGCATCACGGAAAAACCACTGGAGGGATTTTTATGAAATTTAGTATGGTAATAGCTGGTTATCCGGGTCAACATATAGGATACTTTTTACTGCGGGAAAATGTTCCATTTCTCAGAAGAAATACAAAAAGTGCAATGTAAGAGTATACTAATATGTAAAACCTAAGAATTTGGTTTTTGGTCATCTGAACGCAGGCGGAGCCGCGGGCAATGCTAGTGTTACATACGTTTTGATAATATTTTATCTCTTATTTAATTTCAAAATATATTATTTATGTTGAAGAAATATTAATTTTATAATATATTAAAACAATATATTAGCAACTACATATTTAAAGAAAAATATTTAAAAATATTAGTCATGTACAGTAAAACTTATAAACTTACACAATAAAAATCAGTATTTATTTTAACAAAAAATACCTAATTTCTTAGTTACGTTGATGACTCACACTATACGAGTAATATGAAATCTGAATGACATCATCGAAAAAACATGGCCGTCGATAACGCAGTCGAGTGACGAGTAGGGGAAGCGTTACTTTAATAGACAATAGACATAGTACCTGAAGTGTTTAATTAAATAATTGACTTAATAATCAGTATAAAGTCAGCCTCTTTGCTTATTATTATAATTATATTACTATAATCTTTTATCTTACATTGGGCTGCATTAAAAAAAAATGTTTCTCTATAGTCTATAATATATTATTTTTTATTCATTACAGCGCCATCTATTATTTGATTACTAACATCAACTGTTTATTATTTATGTTATATATTTTGATCTGCTTATCGAATTTTAAGGTGATTTTTTGCTCGTAAAATAAATAAATACAAACAACATAATAAACCTTTTTTTTTATTTTATTCAATAAAATAAATCTCAAAAGGCATCTCGAGACCACACTGTACACGCTCTTCTACTCTAGTATTATAAAGAGAAAAGATTAGTATTTTTGTATGTTTGTAATAAATAAACTCAAAAACTTCTAAACCGATTTCAATTCAATTTGGTATGCAGATAGTTTGAGACCCTGATTAGGACATAGGATATTTTTTATTTTGGAAATCATCCCTTAAGAGGGTGATAATAGGGATGAAAGTTTGTATGGGGAAGTAACCTAGGGACGAACGAGCGAACGAGTCGCTAGTTTTATACGTATAAAGCGAGGGTCCTGTTCTGTGGTCATATATAAAGAAATGCACTGTAAAAGCTTTCAATTAAACAAATGATTACCAGATTAAATTATGTTAGATACGCCATTTTATACGCTCGTTGTTTTGTGAAAAAAAAACATAATTTCTACCACATTTCCATTCATAGTTTAACTAGGAATTTGAACTAAAAGGAAAATACCTAACATATTAGCAATTAAAAAGACATAATATTTTGATTTCTAATCGGCGCCTTCAAACAAGTACCTACAAGTCGACTACCTCCAATTATTGATATCGCAAAAAAATCCAACCACGTGTGAATGCGTTGATATGTCCATACATTTTTAAGGTTTCTAGTACTTAGAACATTCCTTTCTCTAAGTTCTTAACTACTTCACGTAAATTGTCTTATATGTAAAGAAAACGGAAAAACCTACAGCTTAAATAAAGCCTTTGTATCTTGTACGTATCTGACATGTATGTATGTATATATGACATATGTATATATGTATGTATGACTTAAATGTCATTTTTTTTAAACTTGGCCTAACGTAGTGTAAAACTATGTTTATTAATTATTGTAATTTTATTATCTCAAATTGATTATCTCAAATTTTTCCTTAACAAAATTTGATGTTAAAAGTAGTAAATATTAGAGTAGCTAAACAAATGATAGCTATCTAATATGTATTTTTAATGCTGAATATTAAAAAATTAAATAAAAAATTGTGTTGAAAAAAAAAGTTTTTTGTAGTGCAACCACCCTTATCACTTAAGGGTATGAAAAATGGTTTACGTCCTATTCTTAGACTTACTGAATATACACACAAAATTTCATAAGAATCGGTCAAGTAGTTGCGGAGGAATTTTGTTACAAACACTAAACTAACACTAAACACGAGAATTTATATATTAGATTGAAAACATGCTAAAAAATATTATACACGGTGCCCTTAATTGTGCACTCTTTTACACGCAAGCACGAAACCTTATTAGGTATTTTAATACTGTGACTTTAATTCTAATGGGAATATAAGTTAAAATAACACTGAACATTGAACTTATATAATTTTGTAAATCAACACAAAATAACCACAAAATTTAATCGATATATTTAACTTTAATGTTAGCTTAAACTTAACGATTCATAGCATACTCAAACAATAATTATTAATTACTAGTATTTATATATTTATTAGAAGAACCCACGGCTTCGCTCACGCTTAAACTACTAAAAAATCTCTAAAAAGGTAGTTTCATACAAACTTTCATCCCCTATTTTACCCCCTTATAGGATGAATTTTGAAAAATTCTAAGATATTTATTTAATTTTATTTAAGAGCACATATTCCAAGTTTCAAGTAATTCTAATAATAAATATTTTTTGGACTGTATTATAACGTGTTTTCCCGTTAGAATTAAGTAATCTACCGAGATAAAAAGTATCTTCTATGTCACTCTCCAGCCCTCCAACTATCTCCACACAAAAAATCACGCCAATCCGTTACTCCATTTCGACATGACAAAAGGACAGACAAACAAACAAATACACTTTCACATTTATAATATTAGTGTGGATATAGCCGAAAGCGACCTGAACGAAATATATGTATTTATATATATATATATATATTTCGCTCGGGTTATTGTGAGTATACCTTAGAAGTTACACACATCCAATTCGCGGACTTTTCTGTAGACCTTTTTAACAATACATTTTCGAATACCTTCATAGTGTTGATGTATCTTTCGATCAACAATACTACTGTTGATCGAAGGATGTATCTCTTAATGTTTAGCCAACATTACCCATTAAAAAATGCTTTTTCATAAAACACCATCATAATTCAGCCATTTTGTACAAAATGTTTATAAATTATACACACAAACTTTCCTCGTTTATTGTTCTTTCTATTATTCAAAACTGTATCAAATTTTGTTCGTAGTGTAGAAGAAGTAACCGGAGAAACAGACAAAAATAGATAGCGACTTTCTTTTATACTATGCATTGTATAATAAAGTCCTCCAGACCAATTTCGGCCACGGCGGCCAATCTCACTGAGACTAGCCAGATCCGCAAGAGATATTACAGTGCACTACTAGTATATACTTAATAAATAATTCTTCTGTACGTGTGTTTGTCACCTTACTCCTCCTAAAGGGCTGGACCGATTTGGATTAAATTTTGTGTGTATATTTCAATAGTCTCCTGGATGGTTTTAAAATACAATTCGACCCAGTAAGTGGCGCTGCTGTCAGTGTGTTAAAGAGTTGGTTTTTTAGTAGTTAGAACGCGGGCGAAGCCGCGGGTACTGCTAGTATAGTATATTATAGTACACACAGACGCAAGTGCACTCTCTAAGTATTCCTTTTAGTCTCAAAATCCGATGGGACGATACTTCGACACGACCGGTAAGAGATAAGGCACAGTACCGACGGTTTTACATGCTCTCCGAAGCACGGATGTGCAACACCGCCAATTTTTCAAGTCCGGACTACTACTGAGAATATCTCAACAGAAACAGTAATTAAATTTGGCGCCGTATAGATACAAACAAGCGACTTGTGATTGGGCTAAATTTTGTATTTTCCTATGAAAATGAGAGATTTTACCGCGCTAAGTTGTTAAATAATATGTTAGTTACACCCCTGCTATTTAAATTTTTCGTTTAATAAATCATTAAAATTTTTGTATGAAGGACAACTCGGCCGACCAATTACTGTGCTTTCCCGTGGAAATTAGAGATTTTCCTCTAGTAAAAGGTATCCTATATACCAGACCCAAGTAATAAGTTATCACTACACAAAATTTTGTTTTTATCCGTTCAGTATTTTATGCGTCGAAAGCACACCGATTTATAGGCAAACAGAAATTTCGACAGCTATTGTTTTAGAGTCTATATTTTGTACAGAATACGAAACAGTCATTGTTTTTAAAGAATATTTCATTTACAGATTTCTCTTTATTACTATCTTATTGATGATGATGTTCTCCTAGCCGATTCCGGCCACGGCGGCCAATCTCATTGAGACTAGCCAACTGCGCAGGAGATATTATAGTGCACAAGTGTACGCGCAGACACAAGTGCACTCTCTATTCCTGTCACCTGTCCTGTCTCCGAGGCACGGGCGTGAAACACCGCCAACTTCCCAACTCCGGGCTATTACTGAGGCTTACTTATACAGAAAGACTCAATAACTAAACTTGGCCCGACCCGGGACTCGAACCCAGGACCTCCGGGTGTGCAGCCGTACATGCTAGCCACTACACCACCGAGGCAGTTAACTGTAAACTATCTTATTATAGGTATGTACATATATGTATGTAGAAATTATGACAATTTAACTGTTAGGTTTTATTATCTTTTTATTACCTAAAAACCTCTCTTGTATTTAGCTGTATACTAACAACATTACACCTTACAATTTAGAAAGGAGACAGAGAGCATAATACTTATATAGTGACATTTCACTCTATCCTTCGATGTCACCTTGCGCCAGTCTCAATCAGACCGGAACGTCACCGGACATATGTAGTCAATAAATATACACATGTAAAGAACAAGAGTGTAACTCCATATTGAAAATAATTTCATATACTAGCATTGCCCGCGGCTCCGCCCGCGTTCAGATGACCAAAAACCAAATTCTGTGGTTTTACATATTAGTATACTCTTACATTGCAGTTTTTGTATTTTTTCTCAGAAATGAGATATTTTCCCGCGGTAAAAGGTATCCTATATGTTGACCCGGATAACCAGCTACCACCATACCAAATTTCATCAAATTCCCTCCAGTGGTTTCGACAGACAGACAAACAGACAGACAAAAATTCTAAAAACTATAGATTCGGCCTCTGTATCGATTATAATGTTTATTTCAATAAGATTTTCCAAAAAATATTTAATGTACAGATTCGGCTTAGTTACAAATTTATTATACGTATAGATTATCTATATTGAAGTGTCTGTTTGTAATTTCAAAATAGCAGCTGCAGCTTTCACAGCTTTCACTGGCAGATAGCTGATGTTATAAGGAGTAAGTAACTAAGGCTTACTTTTATTTTGTAAAAAGAACCAAGATTCCATGCAAAAAAACTAAAACCCATGAAATTATAACTGAAAGACACACCCGAGTGAAACGAGGGTAAGTCGTTAGTTCCATATACTTATATGCAAAATAATTTCTCATATATTTAAAATAAAATCTCAGTACTAATTTACAATTTTGCTCCTAGAGGTGGTGAAATAACAAAACAATCATACAAAATGAATGCCAGTACATACATAATCTAGGATCCTACCATGACTGTGAACTATTGTATCGACTAATCAATTATATTGTAGAATATGACATTAATCGGTCGTTTGTTCGAAACTTATACGATCATTAACAAATGAACCGATGATTATATAAATATACTAGCATTGCCCGCGCCCCCGTTCAGGTGACCAAAATCAAATTCTTAGGTTTTACATATTAGTATACTCTTACATTGCAGTTTTTGTATTTTTTCTCAGAAATGAGAAAATTTTCCCGCTGTAAAAAGTATCCTATATGTTAACCCGGATAACCAGCTATCACCATACCAAATTTCATCAAAATCACTCCAGTGGTTTTTCTGTGATGCGGTAACAGACAGACAGACAAAAATTCTAAAAACTATAGGTTCGGCCTCGGTATCGATAATAATGTATGTTTCAATAAGATTTTCCAAAAAATATTTAATGTACAGATTCGACTTAGTTACAATTTTATTATATGTATAGACAGATGTATATGTAAATATGTATGCGTAACAAGTATATTTCTCTCAAAAACAAATTATCAAGAACTATGGGATCCAAGGTATGCATTGCAATTGGTACAGTAGTGATCAGCATTATTACAGGAATCCACGCAGTAAGGAATGCATGCGCACGGCCACAATCTGAAAAAAAACACGATATAATCATAATATTTGAATATAATGGCAACAATAATACATGGGCATCGTATTTAAAATTAATCCTAAGTTCTAAATTACAAGAAAAGAAAATTAGCCAAAAAGTCTCCAGGTGATCCAAGTTTAGGTTAGAGAATGACGCATATTTTCCATAAACATCACTTTCCACGTTTCATATTAAAATCGTCATGAGATAATTTACTTAGATACTTTTAAGTATCGATTTTCAAGTCGTCTTGTCGAATTAAAAGTACCTAATTAAAAATGTCTAATTAGAACTGTTAACATACATCAAATTTCATGCCTTTCCTGATATTTTCGAAAACGAAAAACTATATCGAAGAAAATTTTACAGAATTTAAAGTTTCAATTTAAAGTAGCAAAATCGGTTGAATTGTCTCCGAGAAATCAGTGAACATACATAAAAAATATGCAAATATTTAACCTCATACTTTTTGGAAGTCCTTTATTTTATAGTAATTAATAATTCTACTTTTATCTGATGCACTTAAAGATTATTAACTTAGATTGATGATGGTTCTCCTGACCGATTCCGGCCACGGCGGCCAATCTCATTGAGACTAGCCAACTGCGCAGGAGATATTATAGTGCACAAGTGTACGCGCAGACAAAAGTGCACTCTCTATTCCTGTCACTCTCACACTCCGGTGGGACGAGTACTCGACACGACCGATGAAAGGGGATTAAGTGATTTCCGAGGCACGGGGGTGAAACACCGCCAACTTCCCAACTCCGGGATGTTACTGAGGCTCACTATACAGAAAGACGCAATAACCAAACTTGGCCGACCCGGGACTCGAACCCAGGACCTCCAGGTGTGCAGCCGTACATGCTAGCCACTACACCACCGAAGCAGTTAAGTTTCAGGCAGTCTTCTAAATTAGATTATTTATATATAATGTAAGATTATTAATTAATACAAATAAAGCAGTAAATATTTACACGAACACGTACCTATGTATTATTTATAAAAGTATTAATTTAAGACAAATGATTGTAAAATAATCAGCAGCCCCTTTATGACCAAATTGACTCACACGTTGTTTGTTTTTGTACTCTACTTATATAAGAGAGCGATAAAATAGTTTATCATATTTTAATTTTATGTTTTGATAAATAGGTAGATAGTTTGATAGACAGAAATAAACATTATAGATATATTTAAAATAGCACTTGTGAAGTTAAAGAAACAAAGGAAAATATAATTTTATTGATATCAAAATTCAAATCATTGTGTGATAAGCGTTACACGCGAATCGACCGGCCAAATAAGTATTTAGCCACATAATGGAAGATAATAATAAGCCATGTATTCTTGTATTTTGATATTTTATATCTTTGCTCAAAACTTTCATCTAATATTGTAACAGGATCGAGAATTTTGCGCACTCTCTGAGGCTCGAAAGGTATGATTTAAGCTAGCGACTAGATTAACTAAGCAATAAGAATATACTCACGCAAGGGCACACAAGAAAGCTGCAAGTAAATGAGTTCGCATAGATGGTGTCCTCCTAATATTTGTAATAACGTGCATATTACATGATCGGCAATATGCTCGGGATGGATCAGAGCCTAAAGGGTTTCCCATTACTACAGGTACTATAGTTGGTCCTTGTATTATTGTAGGAGGATGGGTTACTACGTGTACTCCCGACATTTGTGGCTGAGTCATTGTTACGTATCCAGGGTGAGGAGAAAAGTTTTGTCCAGGTGGTCCAGAATATGGTGGAGGATCCGATCTCGGTGGTACGAAGGAAGATGAATCTTTCATTTCCGTCACTGAAAACGTAAGAAAGAGATAAGAGAGATCAGATTAGTAACTTTTTTTTCATAATATTAATTTTTTTGTCATTTAAATAATGATGATGATGATGCGGTTCAATAAACTTAGAATTTATTTTATAGCAATATAATTGGAAATGAATGAAAGTATTATTCACATTTATTTCCATACTAGCATTGCCCGCGGCTACGCCCGCATTTGAATGACCAAAAACCAAATTCTTAGGTTTTAGGTTGACCCGGATAACCAGCTCTCACCATACCAAATTTCATCAACGTCCCTCCAGAGGTTTTTCTGTGATGCGGTAACAGACAAACAAATATTCTAAAAACTATAGATCCTAGGCCTCTGTATCTATAATAATGTTTATTTCAATAATATTTTCCAAAAAATATTTAATGTACAGATTCGGCTTAGTTACAATTTTATTATATGTATAGATAACCATTGTAAGAAATCGAGGTCGTATCGGTATCGAGAGTTATGTTCTATTCTAACGTTCAATACAAAATGTTAAGAAAAAAATATAATGTAATGTCCTTCATATTTTTTTAGTTTCAATGTTAACAAATAAGGAAGAGGTTTACTTACTTTTTGTACTCCGTTTTCAAACACTTAGTATCACGATTGATGTGCGACTGAATTATTCAGAGCTATTTCGCATGAAATAACATACGTACAGTTGTGTAATAAATTTATTTATAGTGGTTCCGAATAATATAAAAAATATTACAAAGAATAAACTAACCCTAAACTTCCTCGAAATTATTTATAATATTATTGGTTTAGTTTTTTTGATAACTTTCAAGAATATTGTAAGTCATGATTATATATTTTTTTACTTTTACATACATACATATATGGATAAATTGTGCAATCAATATTAACCAGTAAGCATTTTTTCTACAGATCCATAAAATATGATAATAAGCCCTATCGGATAAACTCTATCTGACAGATAGAGCGATAAAAATATTATAATATATCAGACCAAGTTTGCTTATTGAACGATAAGTATATATTCTTAATTTATTATATTTAATATCTACATTGTGATTCTACCATGCCAGTATTCTATCCAGGAGAGAAAGAATTTGAGATCAATCATCACACTAGGAGAATACTTTTTTGGAATACATTTTTGCACACACACATACGTTATGTATGTATAATGTGTATTTTAAATAATTACAAACCGTGACCAAAATGAAACCTAATATTATTATTATTTTTAAATGATTGATGTAAATAAACCTTTTTTTAGAATTTACAATAATTTAAATAAGTTCCTATTAGTATAAAAATAAATCAACTATACATAACATAATGGAAACGACAAAAAAATATGTACTCGTAGTCCAATAGCAGTAACAAGATCATTAAGATATTGATGAAATCATTCGAAGTTATTGCAAAATACAAAAAATGAAAGAGCAGAGGAATCAAGCCTGAAAAATTATTGGCTGTTGGACTTTACGAAAATTAAAGTATTAAACTATAATGTAAAATTTTTAAATAAACGACAATTTAAACCACGATTAAACAATTCTAAAATATTAAAATTTAAGAATTTATAATTTACCATAATAATCCTGAAAATTTGTTTCCCTTTCGTAAATCAACGGTTATAATTGTAAGTAGAATGCTGTATACATCTGTAAAGACGAATCATACCGAATTGCATCTATGTATATGTTACAATAATTATAGTGTCATTATAATAAGTCGATGGTGTATCTTTCTAATAATAAAAGAAAATGTAATTTTGTTACAAATATTGCAATCACGTTATTTGTAAAACATAAACAGTATATAGTGATGTTAAATAATTTAAAGGGCTGGTGAGGTAGCTATCACAGTTCAGATAAGTTAATCTTGATGGAAAAGCTATTTGACTAATGCATCGCGAAATACGAACAAACCGACATCCCAATCTATCACTTAGCTGGACAAAACTTTGATGTTGTTCACAAATAATACATTTAGGGAACTGTTTGGCGAAAAATCTTTTATTATGTAAGTACTGACAGCAATGAATTAGGTACCTTTACCATAGATCATTTAATACCGGTAACATGTAACAAAATATAGACATCTATACTAATATTATAAAGAGGCAGAGTTTGTTTGTTTGTTTGAACGCGCTAATCTCAAGAACTAATAATCAGATTTAAAAAAATCTTTTTGCATTATATGTCATGCTACTACCTAAGGGAGCGGCGCCGTAATCATAAATGTAAAAAATCGGGCAGGTTGCATACATTATTGTAAAACTAATGTTTATAATTAATATATATGTATATAAATAATAAAAGAGTATAAATAACTTTTATGTTTGAAATGCTTTGGACTTATGTTGTTTTTTTTTATAAGTCATACGCAGTTGACATCGAGACAAGCGGCTAATTAGCTTATCTATGTAATCAATATATAATATTAATACTCTTTTAATGGCTGAGCAATTAATTTATTTACTGTGTGTGTAAGGCAGTGGTAGAATAGTGGTAACGCGCTCGCTTGGGAAACTGAGTGAAGCGAGTTCAAATCCCGGGTCTCGCACCTCTGATATTTTCATGTGCGAATCATTTCCAACATGATTACCACTTGTCTTAACGGTGAAGGAAAACATCGTGAGGAAACCTGCATGTCTTAGAGAACTTAGCAAGTTTTCAAAAGACATGTGAAGTCCGCCAACCCGCACTTGGCCAGCGTGGTGGTCTATGGCCTGATCCCCCTCGTATTGAAGGGAGGCCCGTGCCCAGCAGTGGGACGTTAATAAGGGCTGAATACATACTGTGAAATCTATGTGTGGTCAAGGCATTCGTCATTCAACCACTTAACAGCTTAAAACATCGTTTAACATATTTTTCATTATCATTTACATTATTAATTGATAATATTATTATGATAATCTACGAGTTCGTTACTCTTCCGCCGTCTCTTCTCTGTCTTGATAAATGTATACAGTATACACTAAAGTTTGTCTAGAAGATTCGATTGCCTCCAATAATAAGCGCATTCTAGCATTATTATTTTGCATACCTAGTACATTGACATTTTTTTATTTATATTTTGTGTATTTTATGCAGTCTTCATCCATCCATTAATATTCTTTGATAAAATACATTTTTTTCGTACGATTCCTAACTAACATGATAATCGATATATAATCGATTATCACTGTTTCTAATATTACCCTTACATCTTGCATCATCTTAATACAGGTAAAAATATAAATTTTACTTATATAAAAATAAGTTATCTATACAGATAAATAAAATTAAAGTGTCCATTTGTACTAATATCTTAAATAAAAAAAAAATTTTGTTTGTCTGTCTGTTTGTTCCGGCTGGATTGATTTTGATGGGGCTTTCACTGGCAGATAGCTGATATTATAAGGAGTAACTTGTGCAACTTTAATTTTAGTGAAAGAGAATGAAGCGAGGTTAAATCGCTAGTAAACAATAGGAATTAATTATTTTACCAACATAAGCTTACCAACTTTTTAAATTAAATATAAATAATTTATTGCTATCAATTATGAGTAATGTCTTTCTTAAAGAAATCTTATCTATACTTTATCATATTTGTTCGGAGTAATTAATTTACTTGCATGACACATTTAGTAAATATTTTGAGCGTCACAAACGAAGAAAACTTAGAAAGGTCCAGATTGCGTGAGGTCATCGGCACTTGAACGTCGTTAAGGGTAGATTAATAATCGGTTAGACAAATACCTAATGATAACATTTTATATATATATATATATATATATATATATATATGTCGTGTTATCCATATACTACGAACATCATCTTTAGTGGTTACTCATCTTGTGGGCGTTATCAGGGCTCAAATAATAAAGTATTCAGTGCTCAATACACAGTTTAATCAGGGAAGTCACAACGTTATAAACTTGAAACGGTAATTCTAATGATTTAGAGCTAGCGGGTTCACAGTCACCGATCTTCGACTTCCAACTACAATATCAAATATATCTCTCTATGATCAACCAACGTTACTAAGCCACGTATCTCCAAAGAATGTCGTGATGGCGTCTCGACCCCGCTCGAGACTAAATCTCTGCTCTAAATTCAAAATAAGCAATAACAATTAAATTAAAGAACATAGTGACTTTAAACAATAATAAGGTTTCATAACAGAAAAAGGTAACTAAATCCTCCTCCGTCTCGGCCGTCCTGCTGTTCACACGCCCTCGGGTGATCTTGTGGGGCACTCACCACCGCTATTTCTTCTACCACGGCCGTCCTGCTGTTCACGCGCCCTCGTGTGATATTGAAAATCGATCTATAGAAAAAGTAACATTAGCTCGGCTATTCCTGACCAAATAACTGACCATGGTGGCCAAACTTACTAAAACTAGCCATTGGTGCAGTAGATATTTAGTGCAAAAGTGTACGCTCAGACAGGCATAGACAGACACAGACAAATTCCAATGTGCCTAACACAGTGAGTATTGGGCAAATTTTTGCTTTATATGTTAACAATATACAGCGATTCACATCATTCATTCTCCCTAACTAGTTTTCTTTAAGACAAATTTGTTAATACTGAATCTTTAAAATGACTAAAACCTAAAAAACTATACACACGAAGTTATCATTGAGTACAATTTACAGAAGTTTCTCGTATGTCAATCAAGTCGGTGCCACACAGGCCAGTCGATGCCACACAGGCCAGTCGATGCCACACAGGCCAGTCGATGCCACACAGGCCAGTCGGTGCCACAAGGTTACTTTTGCCACACAGGCAACTCTCGCCACTCAGGCTACATTTGCTACAAAGACTCGTCAACGCCAAATAGGCACCCCATTGTCTAAATACCACCTTCCACCATCGTCGCACAGCAATATCAGAATCATACAGCCTCATCGTGCTACTTCGGCTTGTCAATATTCCAGAACTTCGTCAATTCAGTCACCCTAGCTTGTGCTACGTAGGTTCATTAATGTTAAGCTGCTAGATAT